GCAAAAACAAGTCACCAAAGGATGCCTTGGAATGCCAAAAAGATGCAAAAAAAAAAAAGCGAAAAAAATGCATTTGTCCACTAAACCAATGCAAAAAACGCACAACAAATGCCAAAAAAACATGCACAAAAAATGCAACAAAAATGCACAAAAAATGCAATCAAAAAGCAAAACACATGCGATCAAACACGTTCTGGTCTTTGCCTTTGCATTTTTTTCTTTGTATTTGCGTTTTTTTTTGAGAAAACGCAAAAAAAAATCGAAAAACAAGCACCAACAACGCACAAAAAATGCAAAAAACACATGCAACAACATCGCACAAAAAATGCAAAAAAATCGCACAAAAAAAGTGGTGTGTGAAATTTGGTTGTGCATGTGCATGTTTTTTGCTTTTTTTGAACTGCTGTTCTGCCTTTTTTTTGCTTTTTTTTTCTGGCATCCTTTTTGCATGTTTTTTGCTTTTTGATATGCACTCTTTTTGACCAGCTGCCTTTTTTTTTGCCTTTTTTAATGCATTTCTTTTGCATTTCCTGGTAATCCTTTGTGAGTGTGGTTTTGCCAGTTTTTTGCTTTTTTATGAATCCTTGAGATTTCAGAGTTAGGCTGTAAGGTACATCATAAACATAATCATATAGTCATAGTATATATAGAAGACTCTCAGGTATAAAACCACTCCTCTCTCGACTCGACTCTTTTCCCCAAAGCATCTGTCCCGACAGCTTCGCCACACTGGCGCGGTTCACGAACGCCAGTCACGTTAGTTTGCCAGCCTGTGGCTGCCCCCCAATAAACATAAGCTTAAAGGCCAATGGCACAGTTTGTCAGTGAAGCTGCAGATATCTGTGTTCCCTCCGCTTTAGGCCAATGGCATGTTCATCCCAACCGGGTCCGAAACGCTGAGCATGGCCGTAAGTGGTGGCTTCACGAGTCATTGCAAGACGTAACGATTCTCAAAGTCACCGCAAAATCACAGCTGCACTAGGTTTCGAGCCACCCTGAAAAAAACACACCAAAACATCCCGGGCTATCATAAAAAGGGAAAGAATCCACTTTCACCACATGTCACCAACAACCAGGTCAGTCTGGGACAAACAGAAATCCTTTGCCCTCGCCCCTCGTGATCCCTCTTGCCCCTGCCTGCAGGCCATGCGCAGCGCTCTGTTCGAGCGCGGAAAAAACAAGAAGAGTCGTCGGTGACGGGGCCGCGTCTGTGGCTGCGTGTTGGGTGTGTTGGGTGGAGAGATGCTGAAGGTACAAATAGATGTTGGTGTAGGAACTAGCTATGCATGCTATGCAAAGGAAGCAAAGCAAACATGCCATGCGTCTTACAGTGGAAAGCGGAACATGTTCGCAGGACATAGAGTGGGATACATCTTGGCAGGTATGCACAGCTTGATTGGTGAACCGGTTCTGTTTCTGACTATGGCCACTTGGGGCTCACTCCAAGAGGCTCTGCTCGGTGCTCGCAAAGTATGCCGGACAATGCGGAAGACATTTGGACAAATTGAATGAACTCTGAATAAGTTGGAGTAAAGTATATGGTATATATAACTGAACACAAACATATACACAAACCCAAATATATATATATATATAGTATATACTCCCGGCTGGTCAGACCTCCCAACCCTGAAGACATCTTGGGGCTGTCGTCTACTCAACAAGAGGGCATGCTGACCCTGGATCTCAATTCGGATGACCCTCCATCCATCCATCCATTCATCCATCCATTCCCCAGACTCTCAGGGGACCAAGCCCGGGGGTCTGGTGGCTCACTCGCTTGGTCTCATGCTTGTTCCCATTCATAAAGGTCACGGACCAGTTTTCATAGGTCGGCATGAACTTCGCTCGCTCTTCGCAGCAGCGGAAGGAACAAACATTCTGCATGCAGATAGCCTTTTTGGAAAAAATAGGGCAGGGGCAACTCGGTCGATCTGGCAGGGATGCTATTGTTGTTTTGTATTCTTGGCATCGAGATGATGTCCTGAACAAATGAAGCATCTTCAGCCTTGGCTCTCTCCCGCGACCCTGCACAAAACTCCGGACGTGCGCAAACAGTGCAGGCTCTTCCACACCAAAACGGGCCACCTCTTTTTCCTCTTTCTCGCTTCCAGGCGTCCAGGCATGTCTCAGCCATCTTGCTCGTCAGCCTGGGCCTTTCGCATCATGAAGTAGATGTTGTCATTCAGGTGGAACTCCTGTCTGTCGCATGTGTCGCTTCCGCAGGACACCGGTTCGCATTCGCTTGGTTCACATGGTGTTGGCAGGGGAGTTTCAGACCATGCCATCCATTTCCATATTATTCATCCTAAGCTTCCCTGCTCGGCAATTCTTTTTTGTTCTTGAGATACAGGATGGAGGGTAAATGCACAACCCTGCAACACGTGTTCCACCGTAGAAGTCCCACTTCTCTTCGTCTATGCGGCACGGTGGATCCTGGAAATTCGTCCATCAACAGTATCACCAGCTGAGGTTCTGGCACCATGGTTGAGACCTATTTGGACCATCTCCCTCCAAACCCAAGCATAGATGATTGAAGAGAACAATGACGAGATACAAGAAGCTCCGACTTGGGAAGCCAAGCACACATTCATGTAACTTATGTTGATATTCATGTTGTGATTGATGATGATAATGATTTAGATTCCACTCTCAGGGGAAACCGGCGAATCCCAACAACAAGAACTAGAACTTCCATCGCTTGTGGGGTGGATGCTCGTTTTCGGATATACATGCATGCTGAACCCATCCCAGGTAATCCAGTCTCAAACTCTTGTGCGAGTCTAGCTGGGTCTTGCTTGGCTCTTGTAGAGGTGTGATCCCGTGTTCCTTAACTATTTCCAAAAGAACGCGTCCCAACACAGCGGCGCTTCAAACGCCCCGGGGCAGTCATTCAATTGCGGCGCTTGTGCTCTGAGCCTCACAGGCGCGCGTCTGGTGTGCTTTGATTGCGACAAAGTTGTGGGTGGGTGTTTACTACTTCTGGTGCCGGTTGAGGGACGTGGCCGTGTTTGTGCCGCGCTAAGCACCACAAAGACAATGCACTTGTTTGCACCTCTGGTCTCTTGGGGAGCACTTCTGCTGAAGGCCAATTTCTTCAAGTCGCTTTCTCTAGAGTACATGTCAATTCAGGGGAAGCTTGGAAAAAAAAAACAATATGCAACTATGCGTGTGATAGGCGCCAGGCGCACGATACACCCCTGAAACCTTCGTAGAGAAATGAGCAAAGCAATGCAAAGCATATATCTCCAGAGTGGTGGTCTGTTTCACCTATGGATACATCTCCGAGAGTCTAGGCTGATGGAAGATCCGCGCTGTCCACCACCCAGTGAACCGCAGTTGAGAAAACAAAAAAAAACAAAACAATCAATCAATCAATTGCCTGTCAGGCTTAAGGGAACATCTACAGGGAACATCAGGAAACCTTGGTTTGAACATCCAAAACTATGTGGTTTCCTGTATATAGATGTTCCCCTCAACATCCTTCAAAACACATCTGGCAAAATGACTGGAGCCCGATATCAAGCACCCGATACTGCCAGGAAGGGAGGGTTTCCCCCCTTCCAATTTCTCTGCTGAGAGGCTTCATGAGCAGTCCACCGTAAGAGGCCCACACCACCTGAAGCAAGGGAAGTGCGAAGCGCTGAGACGACCTCTTCAGCTCCGCGCGAGCTCGCGCGATCCAGCTGAAGAGAGGTCTGCTCTTGAGCACTTGGATGCCTCAATAGAGAGGTCTAGCAGTGTGGTTTGTGTCGTAGTTCTTAACAATGCATCTGGTGCTGTAGACGAACATCTCTGGTGCTGTAGGATTCATACGTCTCGTGCGAACATGGCCATTGAAGAACACACGACATGTGAGCCGAGCAAGCTATCAGCACCAGTCGCTATCTAGCTCACATGGCCATGTCCAGACAGAAAGAATGGCCAGAGCAGCTTCTGGTTCCGAGTAGGGCGAACATGACGCTCCTAGCAGCCTACGGCCATGGAGCGCCCCCGTTCGGTTCCAACCCCATCGCCTCCGTTCATATCGATGCCCTTTCTGGGTGCTGAGCCACGACTCCAATGAAACCATCGGGAGCTACCAGGGACCGAGAAAAACGATGCCACCGAGACTCAGGACACTGGTGAGATGGTTTCATGGTGTAAATGTCCACCTCCAAACTAGAGTGCTTCCCCAAGTAGACATTGAAATAAGTTCAGAATATTTTAGAGGGGGTTGATGTCCATCACAGGTGATGCATCGATATGTCGACCCACTCGACCCATCGTGGCGGAAAAATGGGTCGCCGGACGGCCAAGTTGTCTTCCTTTTTGACCTCTTTCTTGTAGACCTCCGGGCTGCGGCTCTCAGACCGCCGGTGCTGCAGAATGGGACTGTATATGTCCATCTGTGCTAGCCGGCGCCGGTGGCCTTTTTGACAAAAAGTGTGGTTTCAAACGGCTTCAAGATGTTTCAGGATGGGTTTCACCTCCAGCCTAAGAATATTATATTCTTAGTCCTGTCTGGCCTGCGTGATCATCGAGGACCAACCAAACTTGCGCCGGCACGGCATGAACCATGCATTAAAGTGCGAACGATGTTGGTATAGGACCGCTGCGTCACTAAAGTAGCCTTAACCGCCTTAACCTAATTGGAAGCTCTGGTCTATCCTTCAATCTTCGAAAACACATCTGAAGGATCTCATACCCCTCGTCTGCAGCAGTTTTCTCTTCGATTCTCTTTTTGGCGCGCCAATGCATGGCAACCACCCTCAGCACAGGCGATTCGACATGGTGATCCGTAGCTAGATAAAACCCTGTGACCCCCATGAAACAGTACAAAAACTCCGCATGGGAAGATGAGAAAAAGGAAGTGCAAAAAATGGATCATCATTCTATCAAGCAACCCTATGCCACTGCGAACGATCCTGCTCCGCCCATTTGACCCCTCCCTTTCCTTTGTCTTGCCCGTTCATCACTCGATGTCCTGCCCACGCGGTTTGGGTGAGTTGGCTTCCGTCTCACCCCGACGGGTTGTTCCGAACCGAGGACCCAGGACCACATGCAACGCCGTCGTGTCGACCGTACGGGTGTGCCTTTCCAAACATCACGTAGTCGAACTGGTCCATCACTGAGGGCCCTAGAAGCCGCTCATCATGGTCGTAGGCTGTCCTGGCGGAGGGCAGTACTTCCGGTCCGGGAAAACCACTGGTTCGGGGGAGCCAATGTGGTGTGAAAGGAGATGTCCAGAAAGTTCTCCATGCACTCAGCTAGAGCTGAGCACATCAAGTGACTGGCAAAAACCATCGAACACGTGGCAATTGTTGGAAAAACATCTTCTCTCCGTTCCGAGCGCACCAGAGTTCACTCTCCGAGAAGGGTCTCAACCCCCTTCAAACGGGCTCAGGTGGCGTGAGCGATCGGGGTTCATCCGCTGAGCTCACGTTGTTGGTGATGGCCACATAGATCTGCTCCCCTCGCAGCCAAGTCTCGTCTCGTCTCGTTCCGATGTGAAGATGCCGAGGAACGGTTGTGGGCGCCGCGGTTTGGTCCCCAAATCGACACAATAGCAAAATTGGTCGCAAGCACCATGAATTTGATTGGAATCCGTGTCTATCTGAGATTATTTGAGATGATAATAGTTTTCACTGCATCCACCTATTTTTCGAATCACATGTATTTCGGTCGGCAGTGCAGCAGTGCATCCCAGGGCTCTTTTTGACAAACTTCTGCACCCCCCCCAAACTCCACAAAAAAAAACGTCACGAGGAGTTGAGACTGAGAGATTCTCCATGTTTGATGGCGATTTCTTTAGTCACTAAAGTTGAGGCTGCTTTCTCCGGATTCTTGATGGATTTCCAGGGCAACTTCGTGGATCTGAATGGTTGAGCGGTTTCGGTCGGAAGTCATTGGAAGTCCCCCAACCTCCTACCCCAGCAGTTCTGAGCGTGTCTTGTCCGTTTTGTTGAGCGTTCTTTCTTGAGTCATCACCTGTGGCACTCGTGTCGTTCAGGGTTGCTCTTGAGCCCCAGACAACCTATATACCTCTCCTCTCCTCGAAACAACATGACGGGTGACGTCGTTACGTGTGTAGATGGATAACACAGCTCAGCTAGTCCAAGACATTAAGGCTCAGATCAACCATTATATCGGATGGATCTGGTGCCCTTCCATCTTCAACCGTGAACACCATCGTTTCCCCAGTAAAACACCGGGATTCATAGGATACTTCTGCTAGACTTCTGACGGTCTTCAGAGGCAGGATCTACTTTTTGCTTAAGAAAAACCTGGGAGAGTAATCTGAATGAACATACCATGGCAAGCCGTCAAGAATCTTCATCCCCTCCTGGCGTCACAGGGTAGATGATGTTGTTGATGTCCTCAGATGCGAGCCCGAGACAGAAGGCTTCATGATGTCTCTTTTTGCTCTGCCAAAAAGGCTCAGAGGCCCAAAAAGGAGATAAAGGAGAAGTCCAAATGCGCCCAAATCCCTCCATCATCCACTGCCTCTCTGACTTCACCCCATTTCCCCCTTTCCACCGTCCGCTTCAGCCACTCGGTCAATCTCACAGCACAGCGGCGATCTCCAAGTTGTTCTCTGCGAAGGTCGTGGACTCGCAGTCCATGCGCCCCGCACGCTCGAAGCGACTGTTGTCCACAGCTGGCGACCGTGGAGTCGGCTGAAAGGTCGAAGGAGATCGAGTACCAGAGTACCATCCCAACCCAGCGAGGAACCTTGTATAGGAAGGACATGTTTGAAGCCACATCCAATGTGAAAAATTGGTAGAAAGAAAACGGATGCCAAAAATAGACTTGTATACTTCCAAGAAGTCGCACTTTCTTCCCAACGATCCGCTCAGTTTTGGCCCACAGGGCCAGGTTTGGGGGGGGCCCGACACTTTGCCTAACGTGTTCGCCAGCAACAAGGCATCTGCTAAATTGGACCTTCACTTTCTGTGGAAGGATATCGATCCAATAGATCGAGGGTGATTGACTCAGATCCACTCAGTGGCCTTCGCCCCTGTGGCTGTTCGCATTCAAAAGAGCGGGCCAACAAAGAACATAAAACTACAAATAAAAATCTGGTTCAAAAAGGAGTTCCAAGAAAAATAGCCGGTGGGCAAGAGGCAACATCGACGAATCCCAAGTTTCGACCTCCAACGCCCGGGTGGAACGATCCCACTGAGCTCCTGGCTCTTCACCTGTGGGAGAACGTACGCAGCCGAAAGCTACCGAACCTACCGCCTCCACGGAACCGGAAGCGAGATGCCTTTACAACCAGACCCCCCGTCGTTCAACCACCCGAATGGAGGGTCAAATCTTCCAGTCCCCCGACCCGCGTTCTGCGTTCTGCGTCGAGTTTGGGGGTGGTGGTGTCCACCGTGAAGCGGCTTGACCTCGGTCTCCACCTCCGTTCGAAACAGGCGGACTCTGGGGCTGACGTCGAGGTCGGACGGGCCACGTCCTGTTCTCCAGCCAAAGGTTCACCAAGGGAACATCACACACTGGCTATGGGGAGAAGCAAGATGATCATGTTTTTTCTTTCAACTTCTATGTATAGAAAGGTCCTTGTCTCTGTTTTTGTCTCTAAGACCACCAATGCCGTGCTAGGCAAATGACCCATTTTCCGCCAGCCCTGTCTGGTGCCTGAAAGGAATCCTCGAACAAGAAAGGATGAGCTTTCACCTCCCCCCTTCTCCTGCACCAAAGCTCGTGCTTTTCGGCCACGTCAGACTTCTCATAGCTCGCCCACATGAATCAAAACTGCTCATGAGAATGACTATAAAGTCAAGTTCTAAATCATTGTAGTGACTCATTTCCTCTTCAGTGTCAATTGTGGAGGAGTCATTCTCTACAAATGTGTGGAGTTTTCACTTCCTCTAAGGGGTCATTCGGGAACACCATCACGATCTCCAACCCATCGTTGAAGTTCACCTACTTGGAGTAGGATTGGCCTAAAATACTTTGGAATACATCAGTTAGAACTTGGAATAAATGAGTGTCTAATCCAGGCAATCATCATGAAATACATCTGTAAAATGCAGGCCAAGTCGGAGGACAAATCTATCCAAATTCAAAGCGCAATCCTTGCAAGAATGGAATGGAACGGTTTCATGAGCGACGAAAAAAAAAAAAAACATGAAGCTCCCTGACATTCCGTGTTCTTGGCTCCACACTTCCCTCCAACCTCCAAAAAAACTACACCCCTCCAACCTCCAAAAACCAGCTCCTCTGGGTTGAACATGGTTGAACATCTCATGGCCCTCAAAAACCGATTAAAAGCATGTCCCTTGTCAAAATGCGGCCCTTCAAACCTCCCCAATAGACTTCTGCGCAGAACATGGTCATGCTGGCCGCCCCTGGTACCTTGGGAGACGACACGAACCCTCACAAACCCTCTCAAACCCTGTCCTGCGCCATGATGGACGGGGGGGTCGGCCGTAAGCAGCTGTAAGCGTCCAAGTCGGGTGTTCTTCTCTGAGACTTGTTTGTAAACTAGTTGAAGGTCAAAAGTCAAAAGTCAATCAAATTATGTAGAGTCAGTGAGTACCAATGAAATGAAATGAATAATAATCATAATAATCTCTCTGAGGGTGTTCATGAACCTTGGCAACCATTGCGACGGCGGTTTCAGCAAGATACCCATGATTCAACAACAATGGGTTGAACCTGCACATGATCATCATAAACCACACTGCGGATTGCTCATCTATGCCTAGGCAAGTGTACTGAGGTCTTGTGGGCCAAGCCAGATTCGAGTCCAAGGAGAACTGACAAAATTGTGGGCCTGAGTTGGTTGGAGCTGATGCCACCTTGAACCTGACTATCTGTTCGAATCATGAGCTCATTGTCATTGTTTAAGAATGCTCAAAGCCGCGTGCAGCGAAGGCAACAACTGTAACGACGCACCTTCTTGGAAATGTTGGCTGCCTGATGAAAACATACAGAAATTTTTAAGGGAATGGAAATGAGAACTTTGCTGTTCATTAGTTTATACACCCCCTTTTGCCAACTGTCTAGCAACTGTAAACCAACTATAAATATACTTCCAACCCATGTCACGCACTGGCGTTGATTCTGCCCTTCAGGACTACAACCGCATCTAAACGCTTCTTTCTTTGACTGTCCCCACTTGCAAATCATGGAAAAGGAATTAATTATGGGCATCCCCGCCTGTGAGCGGCATCGAGATAGTCGCCGCTGCTGCAAGGCTCAAACCCGCTCCAGTTTTTTTGTCTTTAGCTGGTCCCCCGAGCGCTCCACAGTCCGTGATCAAGCGGACACACCACTACACAGGCTGTTCCATTAAACCTAGGCTTGTGCACATGCTTTGCATGCTAAAGCAAGCATTCCCCGAAATTTGTGCATCTTCAAGAGCTAATAAAAACCAACGTCGAGTGCACCCCCCTCGAATCTTGGCCAAAGATGGGGCCATGTTTTCGAATTGGAGTTTCAATTTCTCCATCTGCTTCTCGTCGAAAGTCTTGGTAGCAATGAGGCCCTTCACTTCATCAGGGTCCTCGTCCAAAGCCTCAATGGCCTTCCGCAAACCTAGGTGGTCCACAGCAAATGCCTACCTGTGTTTGTTATTTGGGGACCCATGGCAGTCTTGATATGGATGTACTTGGGGGAACAATGCACCCGAACAAATTCTGGGCCCTAACAGTTCTAACAGCCGATGCGCAACAAAAAAACCACCCCTTCAAACAATATGTAGAAAAAACCACCCTGGAAATTAGTTTATATCCTCTAGAATCTACCAGTCGGTGAGGCCGTAAAGAACCTTGTGGCTTCTCAACGTTCGCTCAAACATGACCAGAAAACGAAACTTCAGTTTTTGGCTGAAGTCTTCACCGATGACCTGCTCTTCGTTGACGGATACGCCCCACGCGGAGTGGAACTTGGCCAAAGTGGAGATGTTCTGGCGCTCCAACATCCTGGAGTGGGACGACCGGCACAAGTTGTGGTTGCATCACAGGAGTGGGTTTGAGCAACTCCTACGATCAAAGAACCAAACACCTCCAAAAAATGGGTTGAAAGCATGGCTCGCCCCTACCAGGTGTATCCTTGGTTTGCTTCAATGAAAAAATCACAATGGGAAGGACTCCAAACTCCAGCCTTGCAAATCTCTTGCTTGCGCCGATGATCTCTTCAGGCGATGGCTCGGAGTTGTAGTTGACCTTCTTCGGCCCACCCCATTGGCCACAACATGCCAGCAATGCAAAAGCTCCGAGCCTTAGCGGTCGGTGGCAAAGTTGGGAACCCCGTAAAAAATTCAAGTTTTGTCCCTAAACCTGGGCCTATGCAGGGGGTTTGTTACTCTTCAACGACTGACTTTCATTCGATTGACGTCAGCAAAGGGAATTGCAGCGGAGCCTGTTCTGAGATACACCCACAACATCCAGACGCAGAATCCAACCCTAATTTTGGTGCATCGGTTGCAAGAGTTTGCAACACGTGTAGCTGCAACAAAACAAGATCCGGAACACATGGAGGCACACGAGATATAACAATGCGTAGAGGGGCACCCTTTGAAACAGAAACCGTCACAATTGACTCAGAGAGACTCTGTTCGCGCAAACGCTGGAAACTGAGCAGCGGTGAACATGAAGCGGACACTTCGGTCAGCTTCTGGAAGGCTGCTGTGACTTCCGCACCTCACTACTCTTCCACACCTTTGCTTGTACACTGCCAAGCCTTCGGGGACATCCAGGTAGATCGCGTGGCGAACGGCATGAAACTCAATGCCTTCTCCACCCTTCTCCGCCTCCAGGACTAAAACCATGAAGGCCTGACCACGCAAATTGCCCCTGTGGTTGAACTCGGCCATGTTCCTCACAGAGTCCGGAACGACATGTGGCAAACGCATCTCTAGAACAAGCTCATCAAACACAACAACGCTTGGTAAGCTGCCAGATTCCAGACCAGCGATTAGAACCCCAACCTGGTGGACAAAAGAATCACTCTCTGACCTAACATATCACCACGTTGTTGCCACAGCCAAGTAACTCGCACTCAGCAACGCTGAAACCATGCTGCTCACCAGCATGTTGCATCAATGCAACCAACGCCTTGTACCCTGTCTGGCGTCGGATCACAACCAAACTCTTCTCGCCTCTGCTTGCGGCTTCCACCACTGCTGCAATCACAGGGCTGAACTTGGGCCTTGACTCCGGATTGTGCAGCAGTGTCTGTCTGCAAGCTGGCTGGCCCGAGCTGCCGAAATACACATACATGTTTGTGTAGTTTGCTAAGCTCTCCTCACCCTTGCCTTCTTTCTGCAACTTAATCGCCTGGTACACGTATCTCACAAGAGAGGTCCCAGCCAATTCCGTGTAGGCAGTGACTTGGCTTTGAACTTGGCTGGAGTAGATCCCATCTGCACAAGGAGCTGGCTGCTGCAGAGGGAAACTTGCACCCCGCTTGTGGTGAGAGGACAAAAAACCCTTCATCAGTAAGGCCTCGGTTCTGCTCGCCCTTCACGGCATCCAGCAGTTTCCGTGGGTCAGACGACGAGTCCGCCTCCATTGACCCAGTGCAGCTCACAAAGACGGTGTTGGTCGCACCTTCCATGTACTGACGAAGGTTGTCTAGCTGACCTTGAAACAACCGGTTCGGGCGTGTCAGGTTATGCCCCTCGTCCATGACCACAACTTTGCCACTATACGGATTCTTGGTCGCCGTATCAAAGCCCACCTGCGAAAGCAACGGAGAAGGCGCACGATGTGCATGTTAACACAAAGTTGATGTTGAACCGCGTGACCGATATGGGCTATGGGTGTGCCGGGATCTGCCCGTTTGTGCAGACCTGCCTGCCTGAACCAACTTCAACTACTGCAGAGCTATGCTTACGGCTTCCAAGTTCTTGTGGTGGTATTTGGCAAGGGTTCTGTTTCACATCTGAATCCCAAAAGCCTGATAAAAGAAAAGCGTGGACCGGCCTTGAAAACGCATCCTCTTGGCACACCATCCACGAGTTCCGCAGCTCGGCCCCCAGCTGAAGTGAACCGGTATGCTCGCAAAGGTGCGGCTGGAGGATGGATCTCACGTGGGTTCGGTGCCGACCAGTAGTTGTCAACCCAAGCGGTGGAAGCCTTGCCACGGATGAAAGCTCGCTTCATCTCCAAGGTTGCCCGCATGGGGTTCACACAAAACTCCTTGATGGCCTGCTGCAGGCCCAGGCCCTCAGAGCTGGCACGGCGCTGCAAAGCCTCGGATCTATCCAAGTGCCATCGGTCATGCCGCACCTGCCACCAGTCCTCCTTGTCAGAAGCTAGCCTTGCTGCTGCCGGGTTTTGGTGGCACACAAAGTCGCGCCATCTAGACGGCCACTGGAAGAGCGACTCGAGGAAGTTGTTGGCAACTGTCTCCTTCGGAAAGACCAGGACCTTAGGACGGCCATCGAAGTAAAAGTTGTCCACGATTCGCACCATGCATAGGGTCTTACCTGAACCTGTGTTGTGGTCACATAGCAAGCGGCTCACCGGCGAAGCAGGGTGCACCAACGAAGCCACGACCTTCTGCTGCGGCAACAACTCGACTCTCCCTTGGGTGGGTGAGTCCCATGACATTGACTTCAGCACCTCGCGAGCGTGCGCATTGAACCCTACACATCCTGGTTGAAACTGATTGTTCCACAGGTGCTTGGGATACCCATCATCTGGCACGGGTGGTGCACGCCGAGCCTTCTTTCTTCTTGGATCATGCATCTGTTCTTCTTCATCATCACTGTCAGGCTCTTCTGGCTCCAATGCTCCATCATCGGTATCCCAGCATTGCATCTATGCTGTAACTTCCTTCAGTTTCGACAACACGTCAGGGAAAGGCTACACTGCTACTCCCAACTGGTATTCCTACATCAAATGCTTACTAGTTTGCCAAAAACATCAATCCATTCAACAGAAGCTCTGACAACTCAACCTGTTCATACTTCATACGCCGCTTTTCGGCTCTTTTGATATGGTGATGCGGGTCCAACTCTGCAGTGACTTGAAACAAACTTGTCGCAATGACAGAAAATCAACAGCACTATGACAGCATGATGACCCCGGAAGGTAGGATATGGCCAAACTCGCGAACAGGTACAGGAAACCTCCCAGAAAAAAATCTGCTTGGGTGGATGCAATCTATCCCGCCAGGGCTCCCACACCTCTTACAGGGCCTGGCACACGGGCCGGATTGGTAGGAGGGCTTGCTAAATGACATCACTCTTCCGATTTTCATGTTGAACATCTTGACGCATCTCCCGGAAAGAGTAACTGCCGAGTGTCTGGGCTCAAACGCCTCCTGAGATCTTCAGCAGCTTGCTCGCGCAGGTGCTCTGGAAGGCGTTCGAACAGCTCCTGAACGGTCAGCCGGGATCCAGCGATGGTTTGTCTTTTTCGGCCACAATAGGCCGGGCCAGCTTTGAGGTGAATGGATGGACTTCGCACCACTTGGTGGCAATCTCACTCAAAATGAGGTTCTGGTTTCTAGATTGCAGCCATCATCACACACGACTAAAAACCTGCCTCATGCTTTTGGAATCAATTTTTCGAGTAACACTCCTTTGGACATGTCCCAAAATTCGAACACAGAATCGTGGTGGAAGTGCCCCCCCCACAGCCCAAAAAGACAACTTGTGAGAGCTCCTCTATTGCCTTGACATCCAGCAAACTCGCAGTTTGCTCGGTGGCACGGCACGGCGTGGCCACAGGCCGGCTCGGTCTGACGGCCAGTCTCATCGAGGTCGGACTCGGACGGACCGACCGAGAAGCCACAATGGCTGCAAGTGGTCATTGGTTTGACGCTGGTGAGCAGGTCATGACAGGATCGACACAAGCGAGCCGGTGAATCGGAGAGCCCCAAAGAGGAAAACACGTCATGAGTAAAAGGAACGAATCAGCAAAGATCTTGCGATTCGCAATGCCATCTTGCTTCCCAAGGAGCAACCTTGTCGAGTATCAAACATGTGAAGTATGGCAGTTGGTGACATGAATTATTTGCCATCAGGGTGGGTGTGTTGCACCAACTACTTTAGAACCTGCCAGATGGGTCGAAAGGAAAACTACCAGGAAATGCCGAGGTCGATTCTCCAAAGGACGACGGGGACTTCTGAAGTGTTAGAGCAGTGACCCAAATCTGATGGCCTCCGCGATTGGTTGCTGAGTGGTCATGAATGATGCATACAGACTGCAAGGTGTGTTCATGTCGAAGAATATGCCGAAATTCCTGCCGGAACAAATCCACAACAGCAACAATAACATTATCATATACTACATTGTCAGTGCAGTGCCGTGTTCTGTCGATTTACCATGATTGAGTCTTGCCCCTTCTTCGCAGACTGCAACCTTTTCACGCGGGCGCGAAAAGGTTTGTGGCTTGAGAGCCAGACCCTCCCAAGGCTGGAGTCACCCCTGTTTTCGAAACGGATGTCTCAAACCCAATGCCCTCTTCATGAGTAGGTCTTGCTTGTTCTGATCTGCACGAATCTCTGGATTTACGGAACCGCATGGCTCCTTCACTGCCCCTTCTTCCCCTCGGTGGGAGCTCCCAAGTGCTCACCTCGGCCGCACGCTTCGGAGCGAGGTCAGCGAGGAAGAAGGCGCCAGGTGGCGGAGCGGAGAGGCTGGGGGTCTTCGGTGTCCTTTTTCTGATGGCCGGGTCGTGTTGGTCGCTGTGAAACGCCTGGAATGCATTCGGAGCAACCCATCAGAGTCTCCCTCATGTGTGTCCCTCATGTGTCCAAGCACACCACAGGAGCGGCGTCCCGAGGGCGTCCCGGGGCGCCCACTCAGCAGCTTGGCCAAGGCTGCCTCGTCGCAGCCTACAGGAAGAGGAAGAGTACAGGAATAGAAAAGAAAACCTATAAATCCATGTAATTGAGATGATGAAGCAAGTTCCACCCCTGAAAAAATTATGCACTGCCACTGGCTACAAGCAAGAGGACTTGGATCTAGTCAAAAGAAGGCGCATCACCTCCTTCCCAAACGGTCCAAATCACCAGCTCTTCGACCTCCAAGCGGCCCCTGCGCAGCGCCCCTTCGCGCCTGTGCTGGTGGTCACTTGTTCGCCATGGCGGTAGATTTGGAAGGTGGGCAAACCCATGACCTCGGCGCCGGGGCACGGCGCATGGATGCTCCGGGACCCTCTTTTTGGCCCCCAAGATCTCATTGACAGCAGTGATCTGCAGTGATCAGCAGGGGTTTCGTATGCTGAAAGTGTGTAGCAATTGATCCATGTGTTTCAGCAAGCAAAGGTCGGAGTCCATGTGTTTCCAGTGGACCTGCGCGAAGGGTATCTCCATGGTGCCAGGGAACTGCTGTGCAAGAGGACCAGACCAGACCGCGAAAGGTTTAACTTTCGCAGTTGGTGACCCGATGAGTCATAACCAGTCATAACTAATCACTGAGTAATCACTGGGTTTCGAACAGTGGACATCTATATATATATATATTTATATCATACTTGTACTACAAGTACTGTGGATTGGATGAATCACCAATGACACACCAGTCTCCTTTTAAGCCGCCAGCCCCACCTCCTCCGGCATCCGGGGCCCCTACGCCGTGTTTCGCGGTCACGTCGTCCATCTCATCGGCATCTACCTACAGTCAGCTGACAATCAGCTGCTCGGGTGCCCAAATCCACGTTCCAAAGGCCGGCTTTGGAGGCTGGGCCAAGGCCTCATCTGTACATGTGAATTGTTGGTTGCACAAAATAAGATCTTGTTGAGGTAGAAAAGCTCATGGCCAAACCCGGCAATGCCCCTTGCCGCCCTTGCCCCAGTCGGTTTTGGCCTCGAGGAAGCAATCTTTGGGATATTGCCTGGCCAGCTCCTGGCGGGACTTCAGACCAAGGTGAGAGTCCCTCAGTGACTGATCCCTTTAGGCAGCAATGGCTACACAAAAGCATGCTACATTCCGAATTTGAAGGTGATGCCTTTCATACATAGCAGCCTGAACCGCTTGTCTTCATACATAGGAGGCCCACCAAACCTGTGTTAAGGAATGCAGCGTGGCAGCCGAAAATCAAGGACTGTCCAAACCTCTCCCGTCTCTGCGGACCGACCATAGGGGTCATGAGGTCTCGAAATACCGGGTTGCCGCATACGTCAAAAAACAGAAACCGAGGGGTCTGCGTCTTCCCCAAAGTCAGAAAATGAGCCGGAAATGGTGCCGTATGAAGAATGGAGGGAGGTGTTGGATGGTTCGACCATGTGCGGGCATCGCAACATAGTGCACGTGCATCACAGCATGAGTTAAAACGGCCGATATATTATGTCTATTGCTGGAGGAACAAATTGCAAAATCGATCAAAATACATCAAAATCACCCCAAGCCTCCGCAGCTTGGTGGTGTTTGCAAGCTGCTTACAGGGCCTACAGCAAATCACTATGTCGTAAAGATCTCCCAAGAATTCACACCTCTCCATTACCGATGGACAGGTTCCAAACATGTGTCATGCGTTGTTTTGGAAGCAACCCCAAATCGTGAATTCTCTCTCCCATTCCCTTCTTGGTCCCTTCACTTCATCTCATTCCCTCGCATTCCACGCGCGGTCTCCGTTCTTCTTCTTCGACTCCACTGGGAGTGTCTCCCGTGTTCCCGAAGCGGGCCTGGAAGCGGGGCTTCAGCGCCTGGCATGGCTTGCACCACGGCGCCGTGAAGTCCAAGACCAGGGCCCAGGACTCCTCGAGAGACGATGGAGCTCGGAAGGTGGAGCGGCTCCCACCGGACAGGAACGTCACCATGCTGGTGACCATGGTGGAGCGTGACGCGGCCCGTTTTGAGGGTCCCGGAGGGTGTTCGGTGCGGTGTTCGATTCGGACAGAGGAAGTCATTGACCCGCAATTGGTTGATCGCGTGCTACCTGAGAGCAGGATCTCGTCATTGGATTGTTCTAGACCTCGATCGAAACGATGCGAATGCAAGATCAACATATGTGTTGGCTGTGTTCTTGTCATCGTCTGTCAGCGCCAAAACACGACTCTTCGTTGGGGTACCTAGCGGTACCTAACTACCTACTAAAGTTGATGTGCCAAAAAAAACAATTTAATTTAACATGATGTTTATGTATGATGTTGTTTTTTGATTTATCAGGCTCTTTGCCCATGTGCCCGCTTCGCTCCATGCGTTCTTGGTGCGTCCGACCTCACTTCCACGGTGTTTCCCACGCGACCTGCTTCGAGCGCCGCTGCAGCTCGTCCAGCTGTGCCGCCGAGGTCAAGTGGTTCACCTCGTCGGGGCGTCGGAGCTGGAGAGACACCGTTTTCCGGGACACGGAGATCCACATGTTTGAGATGCAAATCCCCAAGCTAGACATCCCCCAGGCCTCTGGGCATAGATCGAGGACTACTTCGATCGGTTTGTTGGAAGATGCCCATCTCCACTGTCGTGAAATACCCAATGTTGTAAGAGATAATACAACATGTTCACATGCTTGCTGACCGGTATCTCTCAAGCGTAGAGAAACCTGGTGTCACTGGTGGATTGCAATTCCAAGTAAACCCACTTTGCGTCCACACACTTCGCCCAGGCCTCTCCAAACGTCACTGCAGAGACGGCTTGGTTTGGGGCGCTCGCCGCGCCCTGGAGACAGGGCTGTGCTGTGTTTCATCTACAAGCTGCTGCATACTGGTCATAGTACCACACCAGACCTGACAATCGGGGGAAAAATGATACTGGGGCACACAATTCTTCTATCCCAGGCAAGGAATGTCGTTTCGCTTCTCCAAAAAAGACAACTCGCCCTCACTTCCACGAGAATCTCAACAGCGACATCGACTTGTGATAGTGGGTTCCCACTCTGCCTTCTTCTTTCCGAAGCCTGGCACCTTCGTCAAAGGAAAACAAGAAAAGGGCCGCAGCAAACGGAGTCTTGGCTGTGGCTCGTGCATTTTCTCGAGTGAATTTGGGACTCCTACTGACTCCTACTACAGATTTCGGCCTCCTCTCACATGATTTGGTACGTTGAGGTGCCCAACTCTATTCTGTGGACTTCAGGGCTGGGTCTGTTGGGTCATTCACGGGTGAAAATGGACATGCTCATCACCCTCAGACCGCTCAATGTTTCTCCCGAATGAATGGTCCAAAGTAGGAGTGTTTTTGGCAGGGTCTTCTCAAAGGTGGCATGGGTCCACACTTGGTGGCCTCTTAAGGAGTCATCATGGGGTCTGTTTCAGACGGAAGGCATGGGCAAGAGTTTGGGAACAGTGATGTCGCGGACCTTCGTCTACGGCGAACGCAAGAAGAAGGAAAAGAGATGGTTGGTTTCTTCCCTGGGTTTTTGGTGTCATGATGTGTCATGTAAGCTGGATTGTGCCTGCTACGGCGACTGAGGATGCAGCATGTACATAGATACTGTAACAGTAGGTAGTCCACCTGGAAACCGATCCAGTCGTGGTTTCAGGGCGTTTCACGGATTTCGCCGTGGGCGCCTAGACAAACATGTTTATCTGGAGCGAACTCTCATCTAACATCTAGGCAGTTGCAACTGGAACCGACCATTCTCCCCATCCGAGAACTCAGATTACCCATCCTCATGCTGCACATGTTCAAGCCATCCTGGCCGAACTTCGGCCCCCATTCTCCAGGTCATCCACCGAGGAGCGCCCTTCTCGCGCAAGAAGTCCATGAACCTAGTCATCTGCTGTTCGACCCGCTCCGCCCACTCCTGAGAAGACCAGAAGACCAGATGGGAGAAGACCAGGACACGTTTTGAAGGAAATGGGAACATCTATTGTCAGATCCTCTCCAGATATTTCTGTTTTGAGCATTCGAGGTGTACCATTCCAGTTCCAAGTTCCAGTTCCAGGGGTCTTTCACCAGATCTCACGAGCTAGCAGCTAGGTCTTCGGTTATACTTATATCATGCATCTTTATACTGCGGCACGTCGTGGTTCCTAGTAGCTCCAACATGCTCCAACCCCATCGCTCCAACCCCGATGGCTTCCGACCGGGACCAGTCGTCACGTTCCCGCATCGTTCCCGCATCGTCCTTGGGGAGCAAAGGCTTGGCAAACTTCCAGAGGAAGAAGACGATGGCCGGAATCACTGACCAGGGGACGCAAATGGGACCTGCACCGTCCGTCGACGCAAATGGGTGTTCCGCGACGCACGACACCGGAAGGACGGGAAGGACCGGAGCAAACACGACCGTGGGAAGGTCCAGGTAGCAAGCAAAATCCAAGGGTCGCCCATCTGGTTCAGTTTTGATACCAACTAACCAAGCAACTGTTTTTAACCCCCAAAAGCATATGTATAGTAAAAAACAAAGCAAATGATGAAAAGACACAGATGGGCCACGGGCCTCTTCGCCTCTTCTTGAACATATTAACTTGGACTCAAACGGTTTGACCTGCAAAGCTTAGAAGTCAAGAACATGGAGGACGCACACTGACTCATGAAGGACCCATGAATCAAAGAACTGGGTCTTTTTTCCCTTTCCTTTTGATTGGTCGGTCTCGAGGCAAGCCATGGAACAATGGCTTGGATCTACTGGCCATGGAACTGATCTGATGGCCATGGAACTGTCTTAGACCAGGCATACAAAGGTTGTCCATACTGACAAGTCCTTTTGGCAGTCTTGGCTCCCAAACTGTGAGGGTCCACAAAATCGCAGGCATCCTCTCCTAAACCAAATCACCCTAGAGTGGGTTTAGAGTGGGTTTAGAGTGCTAATTCAGTGACTTCTTCATCCCATACATCTTCACTCGTCTTCGCTTGAAAAGAAGGTCACTCACCGCCGTCTGAAACCGGACCATGGACGACCCCTCCATCGTTCACCCATTTGGAGAAACCACCTGAGGCTGGGACCGATACAGATCACCGGCATAGTGCTGAAGAGGTTTTAAAAACCGGTGCGGGGATTCGTTGGGGCTCGTTGGTCCAACGAAGAGAAGTGGTTGGGAAACTGCTGAAGGCTGAAAATTCAGAAAAAGATAGAAAAAGCGCTTTGGAATTGTTGGGTGCTTTATTTTCAGGGTCTGGCCTGCTGTTTCAGGTCCAAGATCAGCTGTTTCAGCTGTTCCAAGTCCAGAACGTGACATGATGCGTTATGACGAGCGCTGGACATGCCACATGTCCTGTGTGTTGCCATCAAGCTTCTAGAGCCATGGGCAGCTGCAAGCTTCAGCAAGCTCTCAGTGCAAGCTGGCTGTTGACCAGGGGACATATTTACGAAGAGACCTGTCTGGTAATCATTGGGTCTTAGGCAATTCTTGCCCTCTCTGCATCAACTCGCCCGCCAAATCCACTTCGGGCGAAAGGTCAAGTGGCAGCGTCCGTTTTTCATGGAGAAAGCTCACCAAAGACTCACTCTCCGATGGTCCGAGTTCCACTCGATCACTCCATCAGACCGACCGATTGAAGGGCGGCTCACCGCTCCTCGACCTCCGTCGACGCGGAACGAGGTGACCGGTGACCGAAGAGCCAACCACGCCGCCGCCGAGGGAGACGGCGATGTCAACGCGTTTGTTTTCAGGGTCGCCAAGCGAAGAACTTCCAGCCTGAGCCGCGGTGGAGGGCCCGTCTGCTTTGTCCAAAAAGGGAGTTGGTGTCTTTTGGGAAAAAAATGAAGGAAGGTAACGGAACGGGTAAATAAGGAGACAGAAACTTTCGCCAAGAATCTGTACACAGTAAATAAGGAATCTGTACTACACTTACTACAGATTACCGCAGGTCATATGGGAACAGTTTCAAAAAGACTCCCAAGTGCAAGAGTCACATGACAACTTTTCTTCTACCCGCGAGATGAGTCCGAGCACCGGTTGGCCCGGCCGATGGTATGGTTGGATGCTTCGCCGGTCACGCCACCTGTTTCTGATCACTCTAGAGGAATCTTCTCGGACGATCTCCCATTGGGGAGAACCTCTGAGGGCGGCACCATCCCAACTCAAGGGCTTTCCGAGGCACGCATCAGAGTTCTCAAGGCTGCTGACCTCAATGCTCAATGCTCGTCAGCGAACGACCTGACGATGGCTAGCTCTATGTCCGTCGATGTCCTGTCCGGCGAATGTCAAGCCAACTGAGCAGATCCGGTCGTGCAAGGCCTCTTGGTTTAAAAGCATCCGGTCCGGGACATCACAGGTCCTACGGGCCACTGCCGAACGAAAAAGCCGCCAGGCCGGAGCAGTTCACCCGTGCTCCAGGCCCGGTCCAGGCATCTATAGCTCTTGAATGCATTTTCAGGTCTTGTGTCTCCCATGCTTCAGGTCTTGTGTCTCCCATGCTCTCTCCGGCAGCCCAGTGGCCATTTGGTCGTCCTTCTCGGTCCAAAGGGAACTCCTGCAGCGGCACTCATCGGCACGAGGTCATCGGCCGCCCACGAGGTGTTCGACGGAGGAGTGTCGGAGATGGCGACGTCTGTCCAAACACTCCATTTGGAGTCTGTACTTGGGGGAGTCCCTCCTAGTATCTCCTAGTTGTCTATGTGTGTCCCAGCTCTACTAGCCGGTCCAACTGAGGGTCCCCCTCTCCCAATACAAACCTACTTCTACTCCTCCCAAAGTCGATCTGCTCCAAACCTGCACTCGCTTTGGACCTGTCGGGCGGAAGCGCCACATCACCCGGGTCCCAAGGACTTCCCCCGCCCAAAACTTCTCGAACCCAAATCCGAGGATCCCAGGTCCCAGGTCCCAAACCCGAAACCCTAAACCAAACCAAAAGACCAAAAGACCTCCATTCACAGAAATCCCCCCAGCCCCCAAAAGACCTTCCCTCGGATTCCCCGAAACATCCGACCGTCCTCGGGGTTTGCATCCCCTCGGGACGCTGCGCTGCGCGCGAGTGAGACGCTGAAGCCGTATAGCCGCTCCTTTCGAGGTTGGCACGTGCATCTCGGAAGGCCTGCAGCGCTTGGCTTCGCCACCTGGCCAGCGAACTCTTCACAACCCCTTCATGTCCGCATTGGCCAGTAAAAAACGATGGAAAAACGGTCAAAACGGTCAAAGGCGACCCCCCCCAACGTTTGGAAAGCTCCCAACACCTCCCCCCTTTCAATGACTCACCCAATGCCGAGCGCACGAGGCATGTGGATGCCAAACTCCATTCTTGGCCTGGGCCTTAGATGGCACAGCGTGCGACATCGAACCCAGGCCAGGCTATGCGAGTTTCTTGCTTGTGGGTACAAAAGAGAGGAACACCTCCAGATCCACCACTCGTGAATCTAATAATCTTTAAGATCTTTGAGGAACGTTCATGGAAAATGTCGTGGCGCTCTAAATCTACCGCATGGGGTAACCACATGTAACTACAGACATCACAAGACCATCTACTTCGATGCAAAGACCGATATGTGACCAGCTCATATGGACCATATGGATGTCAAAAGCCTCTTCCACTGGACGTTGTAATAGTTTCCAATGGAAACGTGCTCTGGGTAGCAACACCTCCCATTGAAAAACGGGGAGCTTTTGAAAGTTCTTTTTGCGTATCCATGGAAGAAAAGGAAGGAAACGATGGACATGTGACTTGTGACATCTCACATCTCCACGGAAGAAAGTGGACATGAAGGTTTTCCGCATGGGTTACGGCTGTGCAAGTGGTCCTCTACTACAGGCAGTTATAGACTCCGACTGCCACCGGAGACTGATGGAGACTGTGACGACTCGAGCTTTGACTGCTTCCTCTGAGTCGCTTCACTCTTATAACTTATAACAATAGGCCCTGTGCCTTGAAACCTTGCAAACCAAAGCCACCACTAAGCCTGGGGCCTTCCACACGGAAGGCCTTTCCAGCGGCCGTTCCAGTAGGCGGCCGTTCAGCGACGATCGACCGTGACCCCTTCGCCGAGCGTGACCCGCTCGAGTCCTGAGCTTTCGAACCTGCTCTTCCTGCAAGGCCAGGAAGAAGCAAGCGAGGCCTGACCGCAAAAACATCGACGGGGCCAGCTGAGGGGGTGTTCCGGGGTCTTTTTCACAGAGCCGAGCTCTGGGAACTTTGTGAAGTCGAACAGAATATGAGGTCAGAGCATGTCAGAGCTGCTTTGTTCATGAACAAAAAGTCATGACATGCAATTGTTATGAAAATCATGAAGTTCATGCCTTGAATACATGCTCAAGACTTGTGGTCAGTTACAGTCCCAATGTCTACTAAGTCTCGACATGGAAGCTGTCAAAGGATTCCATAGCCCTTAGCCATAGAGCAGGTGCTCCAAGCAGCTCCAGGTGCGAACTTCAGTTGTGGCATCGTGCTCCAGACCACCGAGCCTTTGTTGTAGAAGCAATGCGCGGTGTTGGGGTGCCGGTAGACTCCACAGTCGCTGGCCTACCGAACCGACTGCCGAGCCGGCGGTCGAACCGCGCAGGCGAACAGTGGGAACCAAGCGCGAAGCAAGCAGCTTGAACTTGGAAGGTCTTGAAGGGAGGGAGACACATTCTGGAGATAGGTCTCACACTACCGGATACCCTTCAGATCTACAAGCAGCTTGAGGTAGGGTTTGAGGTCTGAAGTCCACCCTACAGTAGGTGTGAGACATCTCATGCCTACACATAACCTGGAGATAGTCTAGACACATTCGAGCGACGGTACAAGGATGAGTCATGATGATTCGGTTCATCTGAAATCACGACGTCCAAGAAATTGGTTTGGGAATTCACAGATAGGGCTAGGTATGATGCTATCTCGGCTATCTGATGCTATATGATGGATCCCCCCAGCTCCTGGAAAACCCTCCGACCCACCAGCTAGAAGGTTCCCCCCATAGAACCACCAGCCTAAGGACTTCGAGAGAATCCACCGGTCTGACAGACTGGACCGTTTGCTTGCACACGTGTGCGCTACGACTGTGGGCGCAAAAAAAAACGACTGTGGGCTCTGTTTGGACAGTTGCGATGTCCTATCCAACAATTTTCACAATGATGGGGGTGGGCTGGGGCTATGGCTATCAATGGTTCATCATGCCTCTTCCAACCAGCGTAGCGTCTCCCCAACACCCAGGCAGACCGATGGGTACATGGCGTCTCCGTCGAACACCTGCAGGTCCCTCCGTCGAACATGTCAACCGGAACAGGTGGGCTCCTCGATGGCGCGCTGCCATTGCTGCAGCCGCAAGAAAGCCACGCCCATGTTCACCTGGTTTTTTCCGTCAGATGTGGTTTGAACCCTCAGACGCATGCAATATAGATAAACAATGATAAACAGTTCTCTTTACAAGGGTTCCATGTTGGTGAGTGGGACGACATGTTCTGTTGTGTTTCTACGACCAGTGCTGGTGTAACAGCATCATTCCGACGCAGATCGTGCTTGGTTGCGTTCGGATGTTCGAAAGGCTTGGACAACCATCAACCAGTCTCTGAGTACTTCTCTATTTTAATGACGAACCAAGGAACAATCATGATTGCCTGATCAATGGCCACATGCTCTTCAATCCTTCTGCCACTATGTACTGCACACTCTGCCAACGAACCGAAAAAGTCGAATCGTCACCTTTTGACGTCTCAGAATCGTCACTCAGTCGTTGGATCTGGAGCCTCCAGCGATGGCCTTCCATTCATCCAACGATCTGCGTTCCTGATCCACCTTCCAACGACTCCCAACGCCCTCCCTTGGCTACTCTCCGCTACTCCCGCGTGCCCTCGTGCGTCCTCTCCGCGTCCTCTCTGCGTCGAAGTGAACCGAGTGACCCATGGAGCTTTGAAGTCCGGATCCAACTGGAGGCTCTCTCGAAAGCAGCCGATGGCTGCAGACCAATCCTTCAGCGATTGGAACAAACCAACTACACCAAGGACTTCGGACGTCTAAGCAAGGAACTTACCAAATGTTCTAAGCCAAGAAAACCACACCTCGACTTACCTCACCTCGAGTGTGTGGTCAATCCTGAGAAACTGTTCACACCTCGACTGACCAAGAAAATATTGGGTTGTAAAGTGCTTCTTGGAGTGAGAAGACGGATGTTCTCGAAGCCGTCACATGCGGCACAACACAGTACATATCCATACATATCCAGCATGCAAAAGCCTAGCACCAAAAACTATGGCAGCGAAGCTCTTGCGGGGAGCAAATTCACAGTCTCTTCTTCAAGCCTACCAAGCTGGGGCTTGGGCAATGCTTGCGAATCACCCCGAAGTTCACTCCTCCAGACGTCCCCCAGACCGTTTGCACCAAAGACTCTTCGACCTCCAACAGTCGCATGCCCAGCATGTACCGCGCCGTGGCATTCGTGGGCATCGCCCGGATGGCCTTCTGCAGGTGCTCCGTGGCCTTGCTTTCGCGGGCGCGCTTGGTGGCGCTGGGTGGACCGAGGACGAGGAGCACCGGTGGCTCCACCAGCCATGGCTTGGTACATTTGGCTTGGTCCAAGAAGAAAATGGAAACAAAAAGATCGAAACTTGAGCAGTGGAACCTAGCTGCTAAACTATAGGTGCTGGCTGTTTGAAGAAACAACCAACACGCAAGAGTTGTTGTTTCGTGTCCAGGTTTGTCTCCAAATGACAAACAAGTAAAGCCTCCTGATGGAAAGAACGGCAAAGGTATTTGGGGTTGCTGGTGCTGGAGGCAAAAACGTCAAAAGTGATTAGGACAAACACATTCAACTTCCAGTCACTTGCCTTTGCCGTGAGATCCTTCTCCAAGGTTGTGGCTTGTGGCCGGAAGTTCACATCTTCATGGCGTTTGAATACTTTATGTCTCTCTTCCACGCCGACCATAACCCTCTTCTATTAAACCGCCTGGCCCTTTCACTCGACTTCCGTCCCTCCCCCGCACCACCGGACCTAACAAAACGCCCCACACCCTCCCATGCCCCACCCCCGCACGGACCACCTCCCCCGTGCGCGTTTTCCGCGCCGAGTTCCGGCGGCCTTGGGGCGACCCATCATCGCTTCGAAGGCGCCGAAGTTCCGCGCGATGTACCTCGGTGCTGTGGAGCCACCGGTGGGAGGATCCAAAAACCACGGTCCGGATCGAGGACGGAAGAGGATCAAGGAAGGAAACAACTAACTGTTTCATACTGTTTCTATCAGTTTGGCAAAAGAACCCCCCCCTCAATTTCACCCCCCCATACCCCCCCTTCCATGCCCAGCACTCTCTCGTTTTGGTGGTGCCGTTTCCCCCGGCCGCCGTGCCCCGGCGCCCGAACCCGTCCGAGGGACGACTCGGCAAAGGCCTTGGTCGGTGAGGTGCACTTGGCACACGCCGCTTCCGCCAAGCCCAAGACCTCCGGTGCGAGGGCGCCGGAGGTACCGGTGCCCGTTCGGGAACGTGGAACATCGTGGAACAACAAAGGAAGGAAGGCTTCAGCTAGCGCGTTTGGGGCGGTTGGGGTTGGGAAAATGGTGCCAGGGGCCCTTGGGTTTGGGTTTGGTGTGGCAGGAAGTTTTGGGTTTGGCGGCGAAAACGAAGGGAAAAGGCCAGTGAAGTGGACAGGAGATTCCCATGACCGACAATGGGCGAGCAGGATGAAGTGGGCACTTCTCCAAGCAAATAAGCATGACGAAATTCCGCAAGCAAACTCTCTGCCGTTGGCTTTGTGAATTCCTGATTGCAAGCTCCAAGGAGCCTGTTGAGCCCAGAAAGGGACATAGTAATCTTCAAGCTGTTTGGAAATGTTTGGAAGAAGTGGCGTGGGTCAATCCCTGGGAATGATGTGATGATACTGCCCTTCGGGAATCGAGCACATGCTACCTGCGAGTCCGCCGCTGCGACGCGATGCTCGCGTTCTGGATTTACCTGAGATGTAGGGACACCCCGTCTGAAGCAGGATTCCCATTCCAGGTGTTGCTGAGTCCTGCTTGACGCTGCTGTTTCTGTAAATTGGCCCCCGCCAACAATTCCTACCAAATTTTCGCCTGAGGAATTCGTACAACTTTGGAACAAACAGTCCAGTCCATATTAGCTTCCTTGGATGGTTTCAAGTTCCCAGCCAGCCATGAAAAATGAACCATCTGACTGACTCTCACCTGGTTGCTCTTGTTCACATCTCGTTGGCGCATGGAGCACGCCAAGCGCGCTGCGATGAAGGCACCCAGCTCGCTCATGCTGGGGTAGCGCCTGCCAGGGTTGTCCTTCGGATTCCAAGGGATGGTGGTGCTTAAATCCGACTTTTGCAGAAAAATCCGACTTTTGCAGAAAATCCGACTTCTGCAGAAATGAGGCATTGAAATGACTGTGAACCCCGCTCTCACCAAGGAGGAGCACCTGACATTTTATCCAAGGTGGCTATGCCAACCCCAAAGGAAAAACGTGGCGTGGGATGGCGTGGGTCTGGTAAAGAACCACTCCCAACCACATTCGACGATCGACCTGATTGCTTCTCCCTCCAATTCAACAATCCCACCTCTCTCTGCTGTTGGAGACCCAAGTACAGTATAGTTAATTAGTCTATTGACTATAGTTTACAGTATTGTTGTTCATCCTCCTTCCCATCTCTTTCCCCCTCCTCCGCACCCGGACCCGCCTCAGCAACGTCTGTGGCGACAGACTCGCGTTGGTGAAGACCTGTTGCACTGCATCACCCAAAGAGACGTAGACCTGGTCCGGTCCGCGTCGTCTTCCGCGCATGTCCTCGCCGGCTGAGCAGCTCGGCGTCCCAATCCCTCCCAAAACGATACCAAAGTCTCTTAGACCATGTTGGGGACCTGGCCCAGCTTGCCCCGAAACCCTTGCCCAGATGATGTTGGGGACCTGGGCAGCTTCGCCTTCCTTCCTCGTTTCTGCTTCCTTCTTCCTCTTCCTTCCTCCCTTTCTCCCGGCCTCCTGGAGATGATGCTTCTCCACGGGCGCGGTGCCCTGACGAGCCTTGCTGATGATCTTGGCCGACAGGTCGCTGCAATTCAAGTCCTCGGCGGGAAGCTTCCAATAGCCTCCAAGCCACTCGATCCTGGGCGCTTCAGCGGCTGAAGCAGCTTCAGTTGCTGGGGCCATTGAGCGGCACTTCAGCAGCTGAAGAGCTGGTGAAGTGGGCGAAGTTGGCAACAATGAAGGGGACGATTTACACAGCAAATTCTTCGAACCCCCCCCAGAAATGGATGCACCACCCTGTTGATCGCTCCAGCCAATTTGTTCAAAAACACATACACACACATCCAACTCAAAACGGAAGAGCAAATCAGGGGAAGTTGGTGTCAGTGGCCTAATGGACTATGTTGCATGATTCTATGTCCACCCAACTGTTGCTTGCGGAAAGTTGTGTCTTTGACCGTCCTGGATTTCTCAGCCCACCGCCTTTTTCGTTCCGAACGCGTGAACCGAGGCTCGCGAGGGCGCCGACACGGGCCTCGCCGGGCCAGAACACCTCCTCCTGCTGCAGGTCTTGAAGCTGCTGCTCGAAGCCACTCACCAAGGTCCTCCATGCAGAGGCGAGGTGCGCATGGGGTCCCAGGGATGGTGGCAGTGGTGGAGATCCTTGAGATTCGTAGGTAGGCCACACAAATGATCCGCATGTATGATGAATTATGATGTATCTAATGCTGTAGTATGTGGAAACGGGCACACAGTTTTGTTTTGTGTTGCTCTTTGGTTAAAAATGCAGTATCCGTTTGTATCCTTGGGTCCTTGAGTATGTGGAGTGGATTACTCACTATCCAGGCCCGATACAGATATTCAAAGGCCTGGACAATGGCAACAACAAACCTTGTAGTAATGATAAACATAACATATCATAAAACCAAGTACCAAGATCTGTAAATTTACATTGCTGGTTCTGTTAACGGCAAACCTTTACCTTTGGTTCTTTGCTCGTTGAGTTCCCCCAACATGGTCATCTCAGAAAAACATGGCTTGGTCAACCAAATCAATTCCTTTTACAATCCCTTCATTAGAGACAGCTGTGAGGAACGTCATCTATTTCATGCTCAAACTCCATCAACCACGCTGGTTTCCTATGATTTCCTGACAAAACACCCTCCAACTCCAAAAGCTGAAAGCCACAACTTGCCACTGCCACCTGGCCACTCATCCTCCTCCTCCTCCTTCTCAGGCTCTTCCACTCGGTGTAAGGAAAAAACCCACGCGCATGGTGGCGTCGTAGCCTTTGCCCTCCTGCCACACGGGCGCAGAGTGGCAAAGCTCCTCACAGACGAAGACGGGACACTCGTTGGACCACCAGTGCCGGACTTGCTCCTCGAAGCAACCCCACCTGGCGTTGGATGATCGGGTGAACGGCGTTCTTCTTGGGTGGTGCGGTGGGGGGAAGGCGGGGAATGTCAAAACACAGATTCGGAAAAAGCAATGGGGTGAGTAGACGACGCATGTGGCTGAGAGATGTAGACAAATGTTGAACATAGATCTTCCCCGGACAATAGTTTGCACACATTCAAGGGGGGTTCTTTGTTCTATCTATACTGGCCACTTCCTAAACAGCCAATGATACAACCTTTGGGAAGCAAGTGTTCGTCAACAATCCAAGTGCAAAGGATTACAAGTTGAAACTAATCGTTTCAAGGTCTTCTTGACGCATGACGCGATGGTTTTACCCCTTCGCATGTCTGGGTCTGTCGTTCTTGGCGGGAATATCTCCTTCACCCTGCCTCTCCTCAGAGTGATCTCTTTGAGGTCTATGATCTAGAAGGAGATCAGAAGTGGTACAAATGTCCCCAATGGTCTCACCTTCATCTGGTTCCCTTCAGGCACAAACAGAAATTGGCTCTCAAAGTCAAGTCCCTAAAGTAGAAAAGACAAGTGGAAAGGGTATGAATCACCCCTTTTCAGGTATTACTCAAGAATTGAATGGGAAAGAAACCAAATTCATTGGTGTTCTAAATGTTTTGAGAAGAATTAGGCGCTTCTTGTTGCCATGCCTATCTTGGAAGGCCACATCAAGCAACTCCACTCGAGACCCCACAAGGCTCCGCAAGTGGCAAGCTACTCGCAGTCTTTGGGGAAGTTCTCATCCTGCTCCTCGAGCCACCTCGTGCGTACAGCAGCGTGGCAGCAGCAAGCTGTGGGGTTGTGCGGCCATGCGTGGGCAACCCCAAGAGCTGGTGATGGGCATCGCTCCAGGATACGGCACATGTGCATAAACCCATGGGCAAAGAGAGACATTGACATCTGGACTAATATCTGCAAAATTCACAAAAATCCAAAATTCATCAAAATTCCATGTGTCTGCATCTGCGCCCTTGGCCAAATGGGTCGCTCTGTGTGTTGTCCTACAAGGGCGTCATCTTAGATGCCCAGTCCAGGGCACTCTTCGGTGTTGTCGGGCAAGGTCAAGAGCCTCTCGAGCGCCACGTCCAAATCATCCGCGGAGATCGGGATGCAGCCAGCGCCCCTGCAGAAAAACCAGCGAGTCTGGTACGCGATGCTCACATTAATCTCTTCCTCTTGTACCAAAGATTGCTCAATGCATCTGAATGCTTTCGAACTGATGACGGATTCTTGCGAACTGATATTGCTTCTGTGAAAGTATATAAGTACATGCGCTTTTCTCACACCAAGTGGCCCAACAACCACCAAAATTGAGGTCCTGTCGACTTAGATATCCAACAAAAAAAAAAAAAAAAAAACCGACCGACTTGGGGGGGGACTGCGGGAGCATCAACCCAAAGACTTGTTGAGATAAGCTTTCGACTCCAGGGTCTTTTTCATCATCCCTTTCGACTCGGACCGGTCCTCACTCTCCGCTTTCGACTCCAGGCCACGTGCGAAACTCCCCACGGGTCCTCTCCGCGCCTGGCCCGGTTGCAGAGCTTCAAGACACAGGCAGAGGGCGAGCCTGAGGTGGACAAACCCAAGCCTTGGATGATGTCCAAGGCCAGAAAGTCCTGCAGAGGATGAGCCGTCAAGGAAACCGAAGCCAAAGCCGGCAAATAGGCTAAATTGATTGAGATGGAGCTCAACAAATTTGGATGCCAGAGTGGGCTGAGTGATGTCCACCGCCAACGCAAACATCAGGGTCTTTAGATCTTTGATGGTCTTTGAGTGGCTTCGGGTGTTGCGGCTGGTAAAATAGACTGCGAGTGCTCCAATCAAGAGCTTCTCCAAGAATCTGTTGAAAGAAAATCCAAGGTCCAGGGCTTCAGGCAAGTCGAGCCACCGATCAATTGTCGCTCCCATGTTTCGACCATGTTTCATCACTTGGGCCATCACTCGTTTCCTGGTAGATCCGTCGGAAGCAGAGCTGTTTGGGCATCAAATGCTGGTAGCCACTTTCGACGAAGAAGTCATGAGTCAACTTCTTGTTCTCCACCAGCACAGCGCGATGAAGGGTCTCCTGAATCTTTGAAAAACCCTGGAGTTGTGGTTTTCCATAGCATACTGTAGAGTCGATTGTAACATTCTGTCATACGGCTGCAGCTAGAGTGGCAACCTAGTCAATGAGGCGGATTGACATTGGGTAATTGGGTACGGAAAGTCCTCCCCACTTCCTAACACTACACCCTAAACGACTACATGATTCTAAGGTATCCTATGTGAGACATTATTAGAAGGCCTCATGAAGGGGCATGAGGTGTTTGGGTTGACACGATGACCCACTCAATGGTCTCCTCCAGCTTCTTGTCCGCCTTGAAGTTCTCCTGGACAGCACAAATATTTATCCATCCGAAGGAAAGGAATCGACAACTGGTGGAGCGGCCATTAGTTCATGTTTCCTTTGGGTCTCCCCAATTCTTCAAAACAATCGAAGACAAACACTCAAACCCTCATCATCTCACCATGGCTCAAATATAGTTTCCTACGGGAGCTTCTGGAGGATCAACAAACCAAACTCTTGCCGTTCCCAACCGCAGTCTAAGCAAACTGCTACAAAGATTATCTCCATTCCATTTCCTTCAGTCACTCTCGGCTGTTCCTCATGTCCTCCATGTCCTCCAAATCTCCATTCCTCCATCTGCTTCATCTCTTCCCTTCCCTTCCACAAAAATAACATGTTCCTCCGAGCTAGACCTCCACCCCACCCTGCTACCCCCCTCTCCTTGATGGCCGCCCCATAGCCACTGAACTTCGAGGACCGTCCATCGCCCGTTTCCAAGACCTTCACCCTTCGCTCCATCGGCAGCGACGGGTCGTACTTCAAGTCCTGGCGTGTCGCTGGCGTCCCATGCGCGGTCCACCGGCGGTCGCGCGGGTCGTTCCCGCGGGTCACGTTCCCCGAGAAAGGGTGGAGGAGTGGCGAACCGCCGGAGTGGCACAGGGGGGGCGAAGGCGGTGGAGTGAAAGACGACGACGGCGTGGAGTGAGCACCTTCACGCGTGGTTGCAGAGACATGGAGTGGACGACATGGAGTTCCGAACATCATGCTTGGACAAGACATCTAGATCCGGGAACACTGAGCAGATCCAAGAGTCTTGAAGGAAGTATGCCACAATGTCTCCAAAATTGAAAAGAATCTATATATATATATTATATAGATGCTATACATGATATGACATCGATCAGAAACATACAGAAACGCCGACGCCGACGCTAAACGTTCCAAGGCTCAAGAATGCCCCAGAAGACAGCAGGACTGCGTTTGGCAGCTTTGGCCTCGTCCTGCACGTTTGGCAGTTCTGGCGAGTTCTGGTGGGTCGTGCGTCTCCGACATGGGGACATTCATCCATGTTCTCAGCAAATCCAAGTCCCAAAAAATCACTTTACTTCGAGTGATCTGCGCCCTCACCTGACAGGTGGGGAAAAACCAACAAAGACCAGTTCCACCTGTCTCCATCTCCCCACCCCACGGAGCTCCTTCGCACTCTGAAGCTCCGCCTTGGGCTCCTCCAGCGTTTCCAGCGTGGCGCCCGCGGGCACTTCCACGGCGCTGATCCAGCCGTGAGCGTCGTATTTGGCCGCCGAGCCAGCGGCCATGCTGGAGAAGAGGTTGCGAACTTTGCCTGGGACCCACGCCGACCGCAGCGAGCGCGTCGGTCGGCACGTCGAGCAGCGGCGAGTCGGTCGCGGCGGGCGGTGCGGTTCGGATGGGGTCGGATGGGAGGTCCGACCCCGAGACAGGCGAGGGAGAAGCGGTGGATCAAGACACCCAGGAGACGTGCGGTGCACGTCAAAAGAAGTCGGGGTTTTGTTTGGGATTGTGATTGTGAAATGAGTGGACTGATGGGACATGGAGCAAACCATGTGTCTCCAGAACTGTTCTCAGTGATGCACGGGGTCAATCGGAAGTCGAATTGACCAAAGGGAATGGTCTCGTTCGTCTCAACATCTGCATGTAAACGAATGTCACCGAAAGTCACCGATGTTTTCACCCCACCGTTTCACCCCACGTTTCACAAGCGAGGCTCGGCCGGACCAACGACTCGAACTCGGTCGAACTCAGGAACCGAAACCGGTGAAACCGGTGCCGACCGACCGACCTTCCGGTCCTCGAATGAATTAGACGAAAAAAGACGACGACGACGACGACGACAACGACAACAACAATATCATTTAGAAATACCCCATGTGTTTTTCCTTGCAGTTTTTCCGCGCCCATGTTTGTTGGAAAGAAGAACCACTATCATCCAAGTGACGCAAAATGGCCTTGCAGCCGCACTTTTCCAGCCTTCTCAGCATGTCTTCTGCCTCCTCTTCCGAACAGCTGCTTACCGCCAGCACGCAGCTCCGTTCGGAAGCCACCTGCAGCGCCTTCGCCACCTCCTCCGCCCGCCCGTGTGGACAGAAGACCAAATCCACCGCGCTCGCCGTGCTCGACGCGTTCGACGCGCTGGCGATGCTGCCGGTGGTGACGCGCACGCGCCGTCGGAGCGAGGGAGCCCAGGGGTCGGTGAAGTCGCCCAGCAGACAGAGGTGAAGACGCTCCTGGATGGGACAGAGAAGAGAAGGGAAAGAAAAAACCTTAAGAAGAAAAGGGAAAGAACCATGGAAGAACAGGTAGCAGCCTCTGGGATGTTTTGATATTGATTCAGTGGTGATTTTGAAAGCAAAGGAGAGCACCAAGAAGCTCACATCGCTTATCGTTTCGGTACCCACTTCAAGGTGTGACAGAGTGCTTGTACAACGTACCCGCTTCAAGAATAGCAGCCAACAAATCCTTCCAACACATCCGCTGTGATTGGCAACTTGGACCTCCCACTCCCACACACCCGGCACCTCGGAGCCACTCAAGAAGGCGGCGGCCTCCTCATAATAGCCCGACTCTGCTAAGGCGCCCTCCAGCTGCCGCTGGGCACCCCAAACCCAAACCAGCAGCGCTCGCGCGCGCTGGGCCTCCGGCGTGGCCCAAACGGGGCGCACGCCTCGCGGGGCGCCGACGGGTGACCACGCGACGATTCGTATGCGCAGTGTAGTTTCATGTATGGTGCCCATTGGAAGAGATGCATGTGTCAAAACCTATTTTTCGTAGTTCATGACGCTGTCGAGACCTACATATTGTATCAACTTGCAAGCTTCTACATAGATATATATACATATATATATATATATGTATATGTATAATTTGTGTATACAGTAATATATGTTGTATAATACACACACACACATATGGCATGTGATATGCTGTAAAGTTTTTTGGCTATTTCGAATGAACCATAATATAGAGACCTGCAGTGTATATGTGGAAGGAGTTGAACGGATGACAGGCCGATATTGGGTGTCTGATCCAGTCTCAATCAATCTGCAGGTATTCACATGGCCTTCTGTCGTGGAAGGGTGGGCTTGGATGGAAAAGTGAAGACCTGCAGCAAGGCCCTGCGATTCACCGAGTCTGTACGTCTCTTCGAAACATTCCGAAGAAGAGAAACCCCCCGGTCGCAAGTGCCACCCACCCATCTCAGGTCTCCATCATCCTCCACCCCAGCATGATCTGAAACCCCCTCCACAATAAGTCTCAGTCCCACCTATGCTCTCATTCTCCACCCTTCTTCATTCTCATTCCATGTCTCATTCCCCACCTCGGGCATACTCCCTCAGCAACATCTCCACTAAGGCTACCGTGCGCGCATGGCTCCGTGCATACCGCTCCAGCGGCGGCAGCGCGGCGTGGTGCGCGAAGGCCAGCTGCAGCGAGGACGCGACGGCGCGCAGCTGGGCGCGCCGCGGGGGACGTCCCTCCGGACCCATCCAGAGGACGTACTGCAACGAGCCTGGCGGGTTCGGCCGGTCGGGTCGTCCGCGGGCGTGGGGAGGTCCGTGGTGGCGGCCGGGTCGAAGAAAGAAGCTGAAGAGTATTGCAGATATTGCAGTTGAGTCTGGTTGTGAAGGCAGAGCTCCTATGGATTCCATGACAATGGGGTGGTTCTATGTAAATCCTTGTACGCATGGCTTGTCAAAGTGTACAGAGGCACTCAACCTCAAGCGAGTTCGACTACTTATCCTACATATCAACAAAACGCCATCTTTCAGATCACCCCATCAGCAATGAGCGCGAATTGACATGCAATATCTGTTTTTCCGCAACAACCAACCTCTTCTGGACAACAATGAACAAAGTTGTGCCAAGTGCTCAGATACAGCTTGCAGCCTTGTCCACATACTAAGACCGCTGGCCAGTTCAAAGTGACATGTTTGGGAACCTGCAAAGTTTGCGTACAGTTCTACAATGCGACATTGCGACGAATCGCGCGTTTTTTGCTGGCGGAACTTTGCTGTGGATTTCGTCACCGCACGTCAAGAAGAAAAACCTTGCCCACCTCTTCTTTACACTCAACCTGTCTCGTTTGAGATCTTCAACATACAGTATTTGCTCTGAATGCTGGGCGTCAATTTCTGGGCATGTCAACACCTCCTGCCAAAAGGGCAGCTTGAACTGAGCATTAGAAGAAGAAGAAGAGGAGGAAGAAGAAGAAGAAGAAACCTCCAAAAGATTTTACCTAGAAACTAGATGTTTCACCCCCACATCTCAAAAGCTGCTAAAACTGATATGTCCCCATGTTTTCCCATGTAACTGAACGCCCACCATCCACCAGGCCAGTCACATCCCCCAGGCCATCGCAGGCCTAAAAGCCGGCTCACATCCTCCAGGATCGTGGCCTCTTCGATGGCACCAAAGAAGAGGGAGAAGGACCTTAAGCCTCGGCGTTGGCTCGCGTCACACGCTTCGCCCAGGGCTCCACGGTGAATCAAGGCAGCTCAGAACATGGCAGGAGGCTTTGGAGGCTTGTTCTGTCCAAGGATCGGTTAAAGCCAAGGTTTTGGTCAATTCTGGGAATTCAACAAGTGAATCAAGACCTATTGTTTGGGGCCTCATGTGAGACACGCCCCCCCTCATTGTTTGAGGATGCCAGTGACCCTTTCCTTTCAGGAAAACTCGCATCAACAGCCCCCCTCTCCTCACCCACACCACGGGACCTCCATCACCATATCCATTTTTGCTGAGGATAGGCCGACAAAGCCGGCACAAGATCTTGCTCATCTCGATGATGGCGTAGATGATCTTGCCTTCTTGGCCAGAGTTGGTTTCCAGCTTCTGTTCGCCACTTCCAATGTTCAGAAGGGCGTCAAGCTGCCTCAGGCTCTTGAGAGGCAAACACCTCGAACACCAAACAAACAAAGCAAGGAAGAACCGGGGTTCACAAGAAGAACTGGAAGACAATTGAAAAATAAACCATGGGAGAAAGGAGGTTAAAAGCTGTAGGGCTCACTGGACAAAAAGAAAATGATAGTAGGTTTACGTCAGATGCTTTTTTCAACCAAGAAGTGGGAAGAACAAGGATCCTCCACAATCAATCACCAGACCCTTGGAACCTCCAAAATTAGGAACCTTCATGTCCTGCCAATCTTCTGAAGCTCCAAAAACTCAGCAAAGAAGACAAATCAGTCTATGCCTTGTAGATTTTTGTTGAGGGGATCTATGATTGTCTATATACAAAAGCATGCTCTCCAAGCTGCTGTTGGATCTGCTCATTCGCCGCTTGTGCCATGATCTGATTCAGCGTCGCCGCCACGGCCACCGCCCCGGCCGCCGTGCGCGGCGGCGAGGCGCTGGCGCTGGTGGTGGTGGGCGCGACGCGCGCGGAGGACGTCCAGACCTGCTGGGCGATCCGCAGCCAACTGCGCTTCTGCTCCGGAGCCGCCTGGCGCAGCGCTGGCGACAAGGCGGAAATGGGCCGGGCGGCTGTTGAAGAGGGAGGGACGGAGACCAAAAACCCACCCCAAGGGAGACGAACGCGTGGGAATGCGAGGGAATGCTGACTCACTTTGGGGTCAGTAGTTGCTGTGCCAGGTGGTTCATGATCTCTTCCTTCAGACCTAGGAAACCATGACTTGCGACTTCAGCCGTTTTCAAGAAAGTGCCTTGTAATCTTCTTTTTTCTGCGCTTGCACCCATCCTCTAACCTCAAAAAAGCCCAGTCCCAACGGCGGAAAATCGCACCGTTTCACAAGGCCTTGGCCGCGACCTTCGCCGCCGCCTTCGCTTTCGGCTCGGCCATGCGGGGCGGAAACTGGACGCCCGCACCGCTGGGCAGCTCCCCCGTCCGCTGCAAGAACTTCTGCACCGGCGTTGGCGAGAGCGACGACATTTTCACGGGCGACTCCGGTCGATCGGGCCGCGTGATGCCGCGCAGCAAGATGTCGCGACAGACCTTGGCGTGGTCCTCCAGGGTGATCATGACGCCACTGGCCTTGGAAGTGGAGTGAGTCGAAAGGACAAATCGTGGAAGGAACTATCAGCAAAAGCGGATGGCATGAGCGATTGGAGAGATCATTTTCATACAGAAGTTGAAACCATGTGGAACATGTTCATGAACCAGCTCAGCACTCCATCAACCAGCTCAGCATCTATGTGGTGGCTGCTTCAGTCTGACTGGTAGGTGGTTGACTTCTTCACCCACACGTGTCACAAAGAAGGAGCGTGTCACAACTCGGACCCTTCAGATTCCCCCGACCCGTGTCACACCACCTCCAAGTGGCACGTTTCCCCAAGACCTTGGTGGACTTGGCGAAGGCCAAGCCATGCTTTGAGCTCAAGACCTGCCGCACTGAGGCTGTGCCCGGCTTTCGTTCCGCGCCAAAAACCAATTCCACCGGAGTGGAAAGGTGAGTCATTGGTTACCCAAAAGTCTTTGCACCCCTGGCGACAGGAACAAAAAGAGAAAGAAACCCCAGGAAGAAATGGAAAACTCCCCTTTTCCAGACAAGCTACATGGGTGTTGTCAGAGTCAGTTTGAAGAGTGCTTGATCATGACTTACCTATAGTCAAACGAGTTTCTCAAAGTTGATAAATCTACAGTATGTGGCCAAACATATGAAACCCACAAAACCCTTCAGTTTAAATCTTAAATCTAGTACAGTATTTCTTTAGCCACTGGGTTTGTTGGTGCCCTGTCTTTAAGGCAAAGCCGTCCTTGGAACCCAGAGTTGCTACAGAAGAAGAGGCTGGCGGATGTTCGTGTGGGCCAAGTTTCGGAAACCTATTGTTGATACCCATTTTTAAGGTCTTGTTGACATGATTTGAGTATTGTTGATGCACCTCAAGACGTGGTTGGTCAGAAATTCTCAAACTGTTCCAAGGTTAAAGCCTGAAATGGTGAAAAATACACTTCAAGTGATTTCCATGTGGACCGCAACACATCACGAACCGATCGCTAGAAAACGTCTCGCTGCAGCGAGAACTCCATCTGAGGTGAGGAAGAGAAAAACCTCAAAGAATATTAAGGTCTGTCAAACCAGGACACCCTAAGGGGTTTCTATTGATAGCCCCTTAGAGGTTAAGGGGTGTCCATTAACCACCCCTTGTGGGTGTGTCAAAGGGCCTCTTTTTGAGAACTTGTTCAAGTTCTTCCTCTTTGAAGGTCCACCTATTCGCCAATCAGTGAGAACTACTGGCCGGCCTCTTTGGAGATTTGTGGAACCCACCCATGAACCGACAGGACCTATTGATAATGTTTCTTGCTATGATCAAGTTGTTGCATACCCTTCTGGGACCTGGGACTCGATGTTGTCTTGTATGGTCATCAGGCACTGGTCATCAGTCACCACCCTCGCACGAGTGATGCAACCACTCTCCCTGCGGAGAGTCCTAACCAACTTCCACATAAACTCTCCGTCTCACCCAAACAACAAAAGCTGCACATGACAGGTCCATGAGTGTCTTGGGTTGCCAGCACTTTTGATCAAGCAACAATGTTATGACTTATGGGAAGAGTGTTCACCCAAACACCAATTTCTCGCAGCTGGCATTGATTTGACGCAAACTCCGCTTCAAGCATGGAAAACCCAGAGTTCCTCCCCCTCGTGTCGCCAAAATCTGCTTCCCATGTATCCTTTTCTTCACTCTACGTCTGCTCCGCTCGACCGGCAAAGAGCCCCGACCGGCCAATGAGACACCGGCGTCCACGCGACTCGGCTTTGACGCTCGGACGTTGCTGTGACGTCCCAGCGCCTCCTTCAGCTCAGCGACGCACATGTCACTGGCCACGTCCAGCTCCAAGGACCAAGGATTGGAACTCCTTTCATCCACCGTGCTCACCTGCCACCAGGGCCACAGTGCCCGCGTTCCCGAGCGACAGCTGGGGTGGACAACCTGTCTTAAGCCCCACAACGGGAGAAAAAAAACAAAACCAAAAAGAGCCGGGTCGAGCCCCAAGTTGACCTGGCAGACCGACAGGGACTAAGCGACCGGTAGTGGGACGCTTGGTATGAGGAGTTCTCCCCAGAAAACAAGGACAGGGTCCTTCTCAAGCACTTTCAGCACCCGCAGGGAACTCTGCAAAAAGAATCATCGCACCTGGATGCGCATGACTGGACTGCGCAAACCCGCAGCACGTGCATTCGGGTGAACGTCGCTGCAAGTCAAGGACGAGGCATGGCGTCTCAACAGGCGTCCAAAGCGGTTCTCGGAATCGTTGGACAAGCTGAACATAGAGAATTTGGTCACAGTGATACCGAAATAGAGAATTTGGTCACAGTTTGTTCGAGGCGAGTTGCCTTTCAGTCACGCAGTAAGCTTGTCAAGAAACATCATCTGTTTTGCCATGTCAATGCACTCTTACACGCGTGATTCAGGATCAACTCAGTATCAAGCTTTACATTCTTTCATCGTTCTTTCGATGCACTAGGCATGTTCCTTGGCGGTGATCTTATGCTCTATCATCTCTCATGTCGAGCCAGCTGATAGCCAAGCAATCAACCCTTCAAAACGAAGATGAACGGGTCGCTTTCCCGCAACAGAGGTGTGTCGCGATATGAGGGATTCGACATCAAATACAGCAACTGAGTCCGCAATTGTTCACATCCTATTGATGAGTCGATACCCACCGCTGGACTGGGTAAGTGGGATTCCAATCTCCCGTCTCCCTCTGCCCGGGCTTTCATCGCTTCAGATACCCTCCGTCTCCCCGGCAATGCGACTTTCTCACTCACACCAGGGGCCCATCCATTTCCTCTTTCCGCTTCGGCCTCGGGCGGAAAGAGAATGGAAAAATATGTTGAAATGTAAAGAAAACTGTTGTATAGTGATGGTTTGATGATTGTGTGCTGTTGATATGTCCAGTTGTCCAGAACTCTACGCAGCGTGGAGAAATGCTGCGCTGTGTAATATGGTGTAATAAGTCGATACGCTGTCAAGGTCCTTGTGCCTGGGCCCTTCCTTCAGCCCGGGCGTTGTCGGCTTGGTACCAATTCCAAGTGCTTTGCACCTCTTCCTAGTGACTGAATGCTGACCATTACCCAGCGAGCAATGAAACCCGAGATGTAGGTGAGTACTGTAAGAAGATGCTAGAAGAAACTCCTACACTTCTCAGTGACATATATTCATTCATTTGGCAGCAAAAAAGCTGTCCACGGTCTCATGTTAATCACACTCTAGTCTTTGCACAAAAGATTGGCCATAGGTGTCTTCACTTTGGAAGGGGGATGGCTCAAAATGCTCAACAATCAAGACCAGCGGAGTTGGGTGGTACCAATCAATCTCTAGCTCTTCGGCAGTTCCCTTAAGTTGCATGGCATCACGAGTTGAGCACAGGAAGAGTTGAGGTCATAGAGCTCTTCCGCAGGTGGAGGGATGCAGAATAAGATCGCACACAGAGACTGATGGCAGTGATGAATACAGAACAACGAAGAGTTTGGAAACCTCTGATACTGCCTGAAATCATCGTGGTTATGTGGATGTCATGGTCATCCGAAAAGGCCATGCCATCCACGTTGGCTCATGATTCTTTCAGAGTGTAAGCCATCTCTCCCTCATAGACCCTGCTATGGCTCATCAATGAATCAGTGAACTTCCCCATGTCATCAACTCACCAACTGGAACATCCCAACTGATCCATCCGTGTGGTGTTTGACCTCTTCTGTTTTCCCTGGTCTCAACCTCTGTGACCATCCAGTCCAAGGTGCGTGGGCTGAAGTCCGGGCAGTCCTCCAACGGCGCGCCGTTAACGCCCGAGGCGCGCCAATGCCGCAGCCGCAGTCGGAGCTTGAAGGCGACGTCCTCCCCGCGACCCGTTGAAACGAAGACCGACGAGGGATTGGGTCTGGTTGAAACCATCTACATTGAACTCACACGTGATATAGGACATCGCATAAATGGATCTGCGCATGTGATGTTCTTGTTACACCCGGGAAGAGACCCACAGGTTCAACCTGAAAACCACGTCGGGTTGTAGAGGAAAGTAGTCTTCCAAAGGTCCATTTTCAGGGTCCATGTTGATCTTCCCGGGTGTACTTTTTGAGTGTCTGCGCATGGGTCCAATCCACCTGCCTTCCTTTGGGCACGTCCTGGTGATTTTCGAGGTTTGGTGTGGACGCCAATCCGCTCCATCTGTAGCGATAAATACAAACACATTGAATTGATGTCAATAACTTTTGTGGCTTAGTTTCTTGTGTTCTGCTCAAAACTTCATATGGACTGACAACCAGGTTTGAAAGAAACTTTGCATCTATCTAGAACTACAGCATCATTATTCATAGATAGGTTGACATATCACCAGTTCCTAGATCATACTGAAGACCTAGAACCTCAATTGACCCCAATGTTGATACGAAATGCATCCAAATGCATGAAATGTGTGTATATATACTCAAAGAAAAACATCCAATAACATCCAATAACATTGGTGCATCAACTGCCATTCACCGTTCGCCATGGTGGGCTCCCCGAGCAAAAGCCGCAACACTTCCGAGTGGACATTTTGAGCTGCAGCTGGCCCATCTGCCTTTGTCACATGCCCTTTAGCTCCAGCAGCGAGCAACATCCGCAATGCTTGCAAGTGGCCACTCTACTCTGCAGCTAATCCTTCTGCCCTTTCCCCATGCCTTTGTGCTCTTGCCTCGAGCTGCTGTCAAGGTCGTTCAACCATCCTTCCTTTGTGGCATGCTGGAACCAACTCCAGCCTCCAGCTTCCACTGCACAAATCCACCACCGCACTCAGCGGCGCAGCATCCGGACTTCCAAGCGGCCATCCGGAGCTACAACCAACACAGCTGTTACCCCATCTGCCATCACCACCCGCCGATCAGCTCCAGCCTCGAGCAGCAGCCGCACCACTTCCAAGTGGCGCTTCTGAGCTGCAACGAACAGAGCTGTTCCCCCATCTGCCCTTGCTGCATTCTTGTCAGCTCCAGACTCAAGTAACACACGAACCACTGCCAAGTGGCCATTGAAAGCTGCAGC